GTAGTGTTTATTTTCCAAACGAATTTACTTTACTACACTTTAAGCACCGCAAGACTCACTCTAGATGAATCGTATAAAAACTTAACTACAGTATTATTCCAGTACGCATAAAAGTGTCAAAGAAATCGAATAAAAAATCTCACTGAGAAAATATTGAGTCATACACTATAATAGATAGGTATGGTGACGACGACGGATATATTTTTATAATTCTTTTTTTTTCTTTGACATCGCGGCAAAGGCGATCTCGTGAAAGTCGTTGAACCACTACGCAGCCATGTCAATATGACATGTCAACGTCCCCATTGATTTATTCGCCATATTCCAATTTTTGGCGCCAGATATTAACATTTCACAGAGATTTATCTTTTTAAATTATTACATTAACATTAAAAAGCTCGACACAATAACACCCATGTTTAAATGTCTAGATTTTATACTAAAAAGACACGATAAACAAATATTATGCTAAAATTTAACGCAGCTATAATTGCTTCGTATAATATTCGCATAAAGTGTAACACAGATTTTCGAAAATTATCATATTATCTTTTTAATAATTGTAAATTCGGTCTGAGTATAAAATGTCAATGAAAGTATGCTATAAACTATGAATAGTAATAACCGAGCCTGTAGAAATTATGTCTAGACTATGTTTAGTACGTTTTTGATTACATCTATGCGACTTATTGTGTCCTTTACGCAGATTAAAGGTCGCCATATTTTACGTAAGTACTCTGTAACCGTGTCTGTCTGTCTTGTCTCAGTCTCAGTTAGTTAGTCAGTTAAAATTATTTTTTTGTGATCTTTTAGACATAACATCACGCCTTTTATCCCCGAAGGGGTAGGCAGAGGTGCACATTATGCCACTGTACAATGTAACACCCGCTTTTCACTATTTATGTTATGAGTCCCATGTAATAGGGGGTGAGCCTATTGCCATATACCGGGCACAATTCCAGACTCCGTGCTACTACTGAGAATTTTTTTAAAACCCAGTAATACTTTGCCCGACCCAGGAATCGAACCCGAGACCCCTTGCCCGGCAGTCACACTTGCGAACACTCGGCCAACGAGGCAGTCAAAAGTGATCTTTTAGAATCTTTCATGTTATGGCATGCACATGGCCGGTTTTTTTTTTTAAAGCAAGTTTTACTAAATTCTACCACTGGTAGTGAAAACATGGAACTACAGATAACTAAAACACTTATCTCTATGGATTAGCGAAACACATTTTCGCTAATGGATTTCCGACGATAAAAACTTTATCTTGGCGTAAAATATAAATGTAGCAAATTGACACGTTTTGTCATCACATCGCATTTTACGTAAATATGCGCCTCAGGCTTTCTTGTATAGCAAGTCAAGCTACAATAGTCTGTTTGTCTGTAATACATTTCCAACGTTATCTTCGTTTGACAATAGAGTCGAAAATGTATTGTAGAATGTTTAGGGTAGTTTGAAATACTGGTGTCTACATAATATGTGCCTATATCAGTCCGCGTCGTCAGTGATAGGTTTCGTTGCCGACGCCTTGTGAGGCCAAGTGTAACTCAATAACTAAAATTTGCATGGCAATAAGGAAGCGTGGGGTGAATCTGATCTGTATTATATTATGTATATCAAATGTTGGTGCTCGAAATAAATTAGCCGACGGGCCCAATGAGGCGTGCGAATATAGCGTCTAGATTGGTCTTATTGCGTTTGTGATGCTCGTTGCTACGAGCCAACAAATTACATCTAACTAATGCGATGGAAATCAAACGAGACGTAGTTCCTTTTATTTGTTTTTGATATTAGATATATTTGCCTACATAGTTTTATAATCAACTAGCGACCCGCCCCGGTTTCGCACGGGTGTATTATGCATGTATTATACATATAAACCTTCCTCAAGAATCAGTCAATCTATTAAAAAAACCGCATCAAAATCCGTTGAGTAGTTTTAAAGATCTAAGCATACATAGGGACAGACAGACGACGGATAGCGACTTTGTTTTATACTATGTAGTGATGTATTTGTTCCGTCCATGTCATGGGGATCAATCTAGACGTTGGAAGATTTTGCTATTACGTAGTTTTGTTTTAGAAGTATCAAGTTCGTTACTCCATGATTATGAACATTATCAATTGAAGTTTGTCTTCTGCAGGCATGCATGCAGGTCGGTTAGCCAGAATTTTAGCATTCCCTAAAATGTTCCATTGTTATTTGAGTCTAGCATAAAATAAATTTATTGAGACTATTCGTAAAGAATAAGTAAGATGGGAAGTTAATAACCAATTTTAGATATTAACTGTTTTCTCAATTCAGTACAGTGCCTTTATCAATCCAAGCATTAAAATATTACAAATTATTTGCAATAATATTATGTATCCAAACAGCAAACTATGTAACTAGAGAATTGTATTGTGAACCTGATTGAAAAAGAGTAACCTATGGAGTTTCTTATTTGTTCTTCTCCATAGGAATCTACACCTTGGAATGAGCAAATAGCTTCACTTTATTTTTTTTTGTTGACGTTTAAATGTGCCTTTCTGGTCTAATTGAAATAAATAATTTTGACTTTGACTTTGATTTTGTAAAGGAAACTTGTTTAATTCACTACCTATATAACTAGTAAAGGAATGTAGAAATATAGGTACACATATTATTTATAATTCGCAGGAAATCGTAAAATTAAATTGTTGTGATTAGCTTGCCGACAGCTTTTTTCATAATAACTTATTTAAAAAACCCGCACCCGCACTTAACATAAAAATATTGAGGATTAAGATCCAAATGATTAAAGTTATCAACATTTGGCATAATTAGCTATCGGCTGACACGAATTTAATTTCTCGTGTTATAATTAAAAATGTGACATATTATACTTATTAGAAAACTAGCTATTGCCCGCGACTTCGTCGGCGTAGAATATGAATTTTATAATATAACTTTATATTTGTGTCAATTTCCCAAAATAAGTAAAAAGTACTTAGGTCCAGCTATTTCAGAGAAAAACCATTACGAACACGGACAGACAAAATTTTTAAAAATATGTATTTTGGTATATGTATCGTATGTATAATCATATGCAAGTAGTAAAAAGCGGTTACTTTAATATTACAAACAGACATCCAATTTAATTTACCTGTATAGATGTATAGATTAGATTTATGTAAAGTAAATGCCAATAAATTGTCAATAGCTTCATTATTAATATCCTTTCTGCCAGATTAAGAGATTAATTTGACTTGATTGTGTAATAAAGTAAATAATTCCACGGTTGTTTATTGTCGCTAATTTAGTCAACTGTCGAACATTTGTAAGCAGTATTAACATCATAACAAATCTTATTTTAATTAAAAAGGTAGAACTTTACATAATCTATGAATTTAGCATAAAATATGAGCGAAAAATAATCGCCTTTGGAATTGCTTAATTGAGTTTTAAGTTTCTCCCTATGTTAAGTACGTATTTAACTTAAAAAAGAAAAACCAGACAAGTCCACTGCGGGCAACCTAACATTCGATTTTATATTTGCGTTTGGTACAGTAACGGTGTCTAGGGATTGAGCCGCACAATTAAGTTTGTTTTTTCATGTATATTCTTTTTCTGGATACAAAGTACCCAATGTTGTGCCTAGGATATTAAAGTATAATCAGACGAAGTTTCATCGTAATTGGACCAGTAATTTTTGCGTGATGCGTTAAAATACAAAAATTTTATGTATCACATTTTTGGGCTCTGTGTCTATATAGCACCCCTTACTATTTTTTTTTTTAATTTTTATTTTATCGAATTTACACTTCTACCTACAGTTTTATTATTAATCTACATCTACAGGTATAATACCAATAGGTATAATAGCTATAGATGTAGATTCATAGAGCTCAGTCAATTATGAACTACATAATTATGATCGCAAACTTACTTCTTTAGATTCCATCACAACAAATTATCTCATATTACATGTACGCCAGTTGATACTACTCCGTATTAAACCGTTTAATTTTACCTTCCTCCTCTCTCTTCCACATTTGAAGGCAAAGAAACAAGCCTACTGGCGTTGCTTCTTTTTCAATTCTTGATAAATATTTTCTGATATTCTCAATAGATAAAAAAATTCTCAGTGGTAGCACGGAGTCTGGAATTGTGCCCGGTATATAGCAACAGGCTGACCCCCTATTAAGTGTGACGCATAAAATAAATAGTGAAAAGTGGGTGTTACATTGTACAGAGGTGTGTCAAGTGCCGTAATGTGTCCTAATGTTCACAATTGAAGGGGTAGGCAGAGGTGCATCTCTGCCTATCCCGTGATGTTATGTATTTTCTGATACAAGTATTTTAGTAATTGATAACGTATGTCGTATAAAAAGAAATTAAGTTACCTTTTAAATGGGAGTATTTTATTGTAAAAAATTTTTTTTCAAGTTATAGAGGATTCGATAAAATAAAAAAAGAGGCTAAGTTTCTTTGCTCCCAAGAGTAGTTTACACAACTTGTAAACTGAACACCATATAAAAGAACCACCGAATCAAATCAACATAAACTCTAAACTTACCGACAGAGATCTATTTCTATAGTGTCTATTTTGAACACATGATATATTTATCTTATCTTCTAAGACTAGACGTTTAACTTTATCTATGAATAAACGGACCACCCACTGTGATGAGCAAATTATTTGCAAAATACACCTTATTGTTATACCAATAGACAGTTTTATTGTTACAACTCAATTTATTATTATTATGTAGGTATAGTCAGCTAAATTGAGACTAAAATTACAAGGCGGCATCTAATATTGACGGCATTAAATTTGCTACTAAATAGATTTCACTAGATATTTCTAACATTCATATTTTTAATAACATGACCGTTTACTGGTCACATAAACAAATTTTTAATTACGTGCGTATTGTCATCTTGATAATGTTATCATTACGTGTGTAAAGGACAAAAGGTTAGTTTTCTGGTCAGAATTCGGTATAAAAGCCAATCGATTTTGTCGAGATATCACAACCAAATTCAACTCTGGAGAACTCGGTCATCAGACTGCCTTCTTTTGAATAAAATGTAAGTAATTAATTTTTAATTTATTTAAATGATTATTATTAAATGCTAGTTAATTATTGTTAGTCACAACCATGTGTGTTCTATTTATGATATCTACTTATTTCTCAACAATTACTTTAAATTTTAAAGTAATATTCACTGTCGATGAGCATTCAGTAAGAAGAGTTATTGTAGATAAAATCTCAGAAAGTGTCATAGTATTGATAAAATAATTTTCATTTTCAGATCGATTGGCCAATCAAACACCATTTAACATGAAGTTTATCGGCCTGGTCCTTTTGATCGCTTTGTGCACTGTTGCTGTGACAGCCCAGTGTGGTGGATGGGGAGCCAGTGTAAGTGTAAATTCAGTCATTAATATCAATAATATACTTTTAAAAAGACATACTGTATACTCAAAAATCTATTTTCTTTTACAGTGTCAAAGTGATTGTGACTGCTGTTCACTGTCGTGCGGAGTCATAGGATGTAAAGCAGCTCAAATTTTCCGCCCAGGACAAATCAAGGAGTACACGTGCCGAGGCTACAAAAGATGCGATTGCTGGCCTACAAATGCTCGTGTCTTTGTTTAATATGTTAAAACAACATTTTCATGTTTAGTAATTGTACAAACGTAAATAGCCAGTTACAATTCAAGATACTTTCAATGGTTATCATTGGATAACATTGTCAAGCTTTGCAACTTTATTGTCAAATAGTAGCAAGTATAAGTTGATTTTATAATGTAATACAGTGTTTGAAATTGTCATTCTGTATATATTCCTTAATATAAAGGTTCTACAAACTTCCAGTTAAATAAATAAATTGAAAATAAAATTACAAGGCGGTGACGCACGAATTTTATGTAACATCTACTTTTCTCTAGTTATGATAAAAGATAATTTCAAACTGGGAGAGTAGACAGGGAGAATTTTCGAACTAAATCTTGCACAGGAGCTGTATGACCGCGCCATCAAGGTAATCCTAATCAGGGGGGCACGGGAGTGTCCCCGCCAAGTCGCGTGACAAACTCTGCCGTACCATACATTAGGTACTGGAACTATTTCACGGCATTTTCTGGCTACTATTTGAGAAACTCTGGATAATATTAATATAGCTGGCTGTTTTAGATAAATCTGGAAGAATTTAGAAAATTAGAAGAAATCTATGTTCAGCAATCATCTGGCTAATAAAATGGTTGTGATGCCAACTGTGCTTTGGACTCTAATAAAGTTTTGCTAAGATTTATTAAGTCTCCATGGAACGTGTGCACGCAAATCTTAGTCTGCCATTCATAAGTTATGTGCGTTAGACGTGTCATGTAAGACAATACTCAGGTCATTCATAATTAGAGAAAGTTTAAAAAATTAAATGGTTGACCTCATCGTGTCCTGTCGTTAAGATTACCTAATGCTGTATTGTGTTGAGATTATTAGGTACCTACAGTTTAATTACAAAACTTTTATGAGTTGTAATTATCTATCTACCTTTGATCTAGTGTTTTAAACATTGTGGTGACGAAAGAGTTGAGTGCATCACCGCCTTTGTTTTTCTTCGCGGATGTTCTAAAGAACTAGGGGACCAAGGGTCTACACGTTGAAGAAAAATCGAGTAGCAGTAGTCTCTTATAATTCTGACTGTAGAAAAGATGAACGCTTCAATAACTTAGTAACCATAGATATACTTTTTTTTTAAGGGGGGAAAATCATCGAATGACTGCTCCCGCCTTAGTGTCAGACTCTTACTGACTAAAAACCACCCCGTTTCTTCTCCTGCACGTCGAGTCGGAGCCCCGGTTACCCGTTAGGTTCTCCGCGACCATTAGGTTCTCCGCGACAACCATAGATATACTAATAATACCTTTAATATTATGTATCTATAGTACATTGTCTTTGTCGTCTTCTGTACTCTGTCATCCATTGTATAATTTGATATTTTGATATTAATTAATATATTTCCTTTATCTTCAAATTGGCATATATTTTATTACATCCTGACAGATCATCCATCACAGGCTGAAGATAGCAGTTTTAAAGGGTCAGCCCTTTAAAACTGCTATCTTCAGCCTGTATGCCAAACATGAAGATAGATAGTTGCTTGCAAATTATTGCAATAAATACGTCCGAATAAGGTATATATCCGTCTTAAAATGAAAACTGAGAGTGTAGAAAGCATTCATATTAAATTAACTAAAATCGCGGGTTACTCTCGTGAATATACTGAGAAAAGCTCTAGGTACTAGTTTCGAACCACAGAGGAGTTCTCCCTTATGAGCAGCGTGCGCGGTCGCGGCGACGTCGCGTACCTCACTGATTATATAAACATAGCATTTATGTCAATAATCACTTTTCACTATTAGAATAATTGCCACTACCACAACGATGTTCAACAGCCACACAAGTGAACCTGAGAAATACAGAATAAATAATAAAAATAATTACCGAACCTGTAACGGCAATAAAACATTATATTTGAGCAATAAATCAACAGAATTAAGTGCCGTAAATATTGTATTAATTAGTGATTTATTCGCTCCAAACTTTGTATGAAAACTTGCATAACTTGTTTTTTTATAATTGTTACAAAATGATTTTATAAATCTTCTTATAAAACTTCTGTTTAATTTAATCAGAAAAAGATTTTAAAATAAAGATTTATTACCTTGTTTGTAAATAATGTAGTTTCTTGGAATCGGAAAGTCGACGTCAACCCTGTCTATAGAACTTGACAATTTCGGTGGTACCGTATAAAACTCCTTGAATAACACAGTAAGTATCCATGTATTTTTTGCATACCACAGAATATTAGTTTCCGATTTTAAACTGTCAAACACCAAGCGGTCACCGGTGACTGCAACCTATTGTTCTATAATTGTGTCTATAATGACGGTACTCGACGAGTTAATTGGCAGTTTTGTTAGGGGGAAAAATCATGGATGGACTTCTCCCACCTGAGGGGGACCACCCTGCCCTTCTTGTCCTGCCCTTCGAGCCAGAGCCTCGCCAACCCATTAAGTCCTTCGTAGCTCCGTATCGGCATCAGCCCTATTGGACCCAACCGTTTAATTAGCAGTTAAGGTACAAAATAATTTAATGTTTTTAAACTCAGAACTTTTATTTATTTTATCTTTAAACTCAGGACGATGTCTATCAAACCTTGATTTCATGAGAAAACATATTCTATTTGTAATGTATGATAAAATCTATACTAAAATCAGATAAACGTATATTATGTATAGTAAACAGTTCTGTAATCGCTTTTTCACTATATTATCGGCTACTACCTACTATAACAGTTACAGATACAAATACAATAGATTCTGAACTTAACCTTTGTCACTAAGGTTCCAGTTGGAATGAAAATTTATGCTGAAATTATGTAACTGTACGCAAATGTTGTTTAACACGACATTACAGGAATATAAGTATTGTTAACAGTTACCACGGTCTTGTATTTACGTGGTTTCAAATAGCATTGGTATTTTAAGAAACAGTTGTATTCACTTTTATGTAAGAAGAATATAACATAACATCACACCTTTTATCCCCGCAGGGGTAGGCAGAGGTGTACATTATGCCAGTGTACAATATAGAGGTAATACCCACTTTTCACTATTTATGTCATGAAGCCCATGTAATAGGGGGTGAGCCTATTGCCATGTTATTATGCTGGGCACATTTCCAGACTCCGTGCTACGACTGAGAAGAATTTTGAAAAAACCCAGTAATACTTTGTCAGTCCCGGGAATCGAACCCGAGACTCCTTGCCCGGCAGTCGCACTTGCGACCACAAGTATTTGAGAAATTCCTTTTAAATAATAAACCTTGTGGTTTATAAACAGCTCTGGAGTTTACTTAATTAACGCTATTATTTTCCCGGCAACTTTGAATGAGGTTATACCAAAGATAGCCAGTTTAAAATACAATATTGTTAATTTAAACTACTTAATAAAACGAAACACATGTATTGTGTAGGCGAAAACCTTCCGAATTAATATTAATGTTATTTTAAGTAGTAAAACTAATAAATTACATATTAGTTTCATATTAACGACGATAATAAAAATTTTATTAACATTTATTTTAATTGATTTCACCGCCATTTTGAAATTATCTTTTTGGTAAAGAATTCCATTTTCGTTACCCAATATAGAAATTAGTTAGCGTCTGACTGAGATTTTAATTGGAAGTTAAAATAGATTTTCGTTGCGTTTGTTCTGTTGTGAATGGAACCATTCAACTCGTGCGCAGCGAACAAGTTAACTTGCTTTATCGTAGAGTCATTAATCAAGCTTCACACTTAGGCCTTTAATAATTATTATAATTAATATTTTTATCACCTATTCAGTCGTTGCACGTATAAGCTTGCCACTTGACAACACATACGTTAATACTTACCGATTTATCATTGATAATGAACAATTTTGTGTTTAAGATTATTTTACTATCATTAACGTTATTGATATTGGGGTATTACTATTAATTATTTGGGTTTGATGTGTCTATTATAACATTTATAACAGTGGTGTATCATGAGTCTACAGAACATGATGTACCATCGAGTTATGATGTAAAATAAAGTAGGTAATAGTTTAGACATTCTATGATTTGCCTCGTTCGCCGAGTGGTCGCAAGTGCGACTGCTGGGCAAGGGCTCTCGGGTCCGATTCCCGGGTCGGACAAAGTATAACTAGGTGTTCTAAAAAAAAATCTCAGTAGTAGCACGGAGTTTGGAATTGTGCCCGGTGTATGGTCATCGGCTCACTCCCTATTACATGGGACTCATAACATATATAGTGAAAAGTGGGTTTTACACTGGCATTAAGTGTCGTTATGTGCACCTCTGCCGCCTCTTCGGAGATAAAAAGGCGTGATGTATATATATAAAAGAGTTTGTGTTAGTTACACTTTTTATTACTCAAGAACAGGTTAAAATCTATTTCGTTAAAAATTGGTGGGACAGTAGCTTAGAACCAGGAGACGGATATAGGATACTTTATATCAAAAATGTTTTTTTTTAATTTTATACCGAAAATCACGAACGGGAACGGGGGAAAACGGGATTGCGCCTACGAAGACGCGAGCAGAAGGTAATATTCAATAAAATAATAATTTTAATATAGAAGAAATTAAATTAATTTCTAATTTCACACGCATATACCACCGCCCTTACTTACGCGAACAGATATCGAATAACATTGACACGTTGTAAACATGGCTGTACATCACTGATATTACTAATTGTCACTAGGAAGACATAAATACGTTGAAGATTTTCGATAACGTTCTAGATTTAAATCAAGTACCCAGAACAAGAAGTCAGCTCTATTTCTTAGTAATAAATCTTTCGAAGTAACCAGTCTTGTTTGAATTCCTGCTTTCAAAGTTAGAAGATATTCTTGGTTATAATGTTATTATTGTGTAATGTTTGGTACTAGGAGAGCAAGGATGAAGAGTAGGTTGCTTGTGACGAGATTTGGTCTTGTTATTGGGAAAGTGTCTCTGAATCGTCCAGTTTAGAATTGAATATTGATTGTAGGATGGAATTGGTTGGAACAACAATGTATAAGTATTACGAGACGAGACATGAGACATGTCAAATGTTATTGAAAGAGCATACTGACTAAAACTGATAGGCGATTGGGTCATCATATTCGTTGTTTAGGTAGTTGTAAGATGCATCATACAATTAGATGAAAAGGATAAAACATAAAAACGTTAACATTTCGGTTTGTAGTTAGTGAAAGTGAGTGTAGAGTTAAGAGCAATA